TGACTTTTCTTTCCCCAGTGATTTCTAATCTGAAGAACAGCAATACTCACTTATCTCAACTTCATCCACTTTATTTGTGTTGGCAATTGAAACACAGAAATATTGGATTGGTATCAGTGATGTCAATGATCAAAGTAATTAGGTAATCATTACTCATTTTGAATCAAATTCTGGAAGATTTATGTTTAATAGAAGTTAAAAAGTACCTGCCTAGCTTCTTTAGACACTTCATTTGAAAACCAGGAATTAATTCTACTGACTTTTATTTTATTCATCTGTAAAACTGGAATTAGATTAAAACTCCCAGCATAATATCCCATGATTCTTTAATTACAAAGTGAGGTTGTCTGAATTGGAATAAAGGCAGAAATGAAAACCTTTATTATGAGGGTTTATGTTAGAATAAATCTTCTCTCTAAGTAAAAACAATGAGAGAATATAAGTAGAATGTTTTTTTCCCTTTTAATATTTGATCTCAGGGATTAAAAAGAAAATATATTTTCTACAATGTTATTTTGTCCTTTAAAAAGAATAAAAAATATTCCAAAAGCCAACACTATTTAACTTATTTTAGAGCCCTTATATTGCTCCTACATTGATGTCTGATAGCATTAAAGAATGCAAAAAAACTCTAAAACTTGTTTTCTTTTATCACACCTTGACTTCAAAAAATAACTAACAGTTTTTGCTCTTCTGTAACACTAAGACATTCTTAGTTATGAGTTGAAATCTTGGTGACTATTCGTCAAATTGCTACATTTTACAGTAATTCCATATAAATGCATAGATAAAGGTTGATTAATGTAGCCTTTCACAACAATTTATTTTGTGAGAATTAATACTTATACATTTAGTGGAGGCATGAGAGTCAGCAAGTGTGTGTTTAATATCGCTTTCATATTCTGTAGTTTGCTTCTTTAGACAAATAAGAGTAATGTGTAGCATAAAAAACAAAAAACAAAATGTCATTTAATTGTTTTAATAATGTTAATATAAACTATTGTGAATATAGGTGAAGTATTTTCATAAATGGGTAGCTATATAGTTGAAATGAGGTGATATTAATATCAACATGTCTGTTACAACTAATATTACTTGTTTTCATTTTGCATGGAAATTATTCTTGTACTTAAAAGGAAATTACTGCCACTTACTAAATCGCTATTATTGTCATGGCCCATGCTTAATTACCCATTTTCTTTGGTGCTTGATTTAAGTAAACTTTATCTTTACAAACAAAACTATATTTGATTTAAATAAAACAAGTGCTTCTTCTTATTATTATTACTACTAGAAGCCTGGTGCACAAATTCATGCACCAGTGGGTTCCCTCAGTCTAGCCTGCAGGATTGGGCCGAAACCAGCTCTCCGACATCCCCCAAGGGGTCCTGGATTGTGAGAGGGCGCAGGCCAGGCCGAGGGACCCCACTGGTGCACGATCAGGCCTGGGGAGGGATGCGGGAGGTTGGCCAGCCCGAGAGGGACTGCGGGGGGGTAGGGAAGTTTCAGGACGTGTTCAGCCCGTCTCGCTCAGTCCCGATCAGCCAGTCCCCAGCAGCAAGCTAAACTACCAGTTGGAGCGTCTGCCCCCTGGTGGTCAATGCACATCATAGTGACTGGTGGACTATCTGCCCCCTGGTGGTCATTGCACATCATAGCGAGCGGTTGAGTGGTCTTAGTTTATCATTAGCATATTAAGCTTTGATTGGTTGAATGGATGACTGGACACTTAGCATATTAGGTTTTTATTATATAGGATCATTTTTACTACTAACAGAACACACAATATGTAGAATATCTAAAGAGATGGAAAGAATAGCCATCATAGTAAAAATGAGAGTGGTTGTACTTAAAGAGTATATAGACAAGAATACTCATATTTGAAATAAAATGCAGTAGAAGAATTAGTGAGTATGGCTGACAATATTGTATACCTCTATGGAGTAACTCATTTCATTGACGTTAGGTACTTAGACTAATGAAAGAGGTAGCAAATAGTTGACTATTTAAGAGGTAAGCTATTTCATCTTAAACATTGATTCTTACCTATCAAAAACTAGTAGGAGTAGATGATCAAGTCAGCATAATAATTGGTTTTATATTTGTATGAGAGATTTTTGTCCTGAGTGAAAATATTTATCAGTTGTTTTTCTTGTGCTGTAGAATAAATACTTACTGTACAGAACAAGAAATATTTTTTGTTCAGGTTAATTTCTTCAGATTAATTTAATCAGTGGTTCTGAAAGTTGGATTTCTGACCTATCACTATTATTAGCATTACTTAGGAATTTATTAGGAATGCAAAAGCTCTGGCCACACCACAGACCTACTGAGTATGAAATTGTGGGGCCTGGCCTGGAAATATGTATTGTAACAAGCCCTTTGGACATTCTCTTGCATGCTAAGTTAGAGGGTCACTAAACTTGAATAACTGGTGCAGGAAGTGACTTTTTTCATGTGAATTGTTCTACCTGATGTTTTCTGCAAAATTGCTTCTTAATAATGCCTCTCAGTTTGATAGAAAATGTTAATACACTCTTGGCCATAATGTTGGGAGGGATAACATTAGAATGTATAGTTTCTAAGCTGAGAGTATCCATAAAGACTACATCTTCTTAATTAAATATCTTTTACTTCACAACTATTCTCTGTCTTCCATGATCAAATTCTTCTTTTCTGTGATACCAACTATGGAGTAGACTTTCAACTCTGTTATATCAACTGAATGTGCAGGGTTTATACTTAGAATTGAAACTTTTATTTGATATGCGAATGGGAGTCAGGCAAATCAAGACTTTTGCTGGAAATGACCCTGTATTTGAAAAATGTTTACTACCAAAGAAATTAGAGCCAAGGTTTAAGAAGGAAGGAATTCTCGGACAAAGAGACATATTAACTGTCTTTTAAAATGTGAAGGTCTATCACATATAAGGACATTTTATGTCTTCTGAGGAATTCTAGAGAGTGAGAGTTATGAGCGCTGATATCTGATTATTATGATAAAGCTATCATCTAATCAGATGTATTTGAAAATGGACTGGACTGCCTTGTGTGCTAACGGGTTTCTTATGGTTAAGAGTATTTAAGTCACAGCAAAGGATGACATGATAGGATGGTCTGGAACTTTGCTGCTCACAGTGTGGTCCCATCTGGGAGTTGTTAGAAATGCAGAAACTCAGGGTCCACCCCAAATCCTAGTGAATCATAATCTGAAATTTAATAAGATCCATGAATGGTCTACATGTACATTAAATTTGGGAAAGTGTTCCAGTTGACATATAATAAATCTTCATATTATTCTATATTTAATTCTTACAGAATTATTTTGTGATTCAGAATTTGAATAACAATCTAGAAGAGACTGGGAAGGGGGTACTTGACTTCACATGTCATGGTGGAGTCACTAAATGAATGAAATGCTACCCTCAAAATGAAAGATCTGTATCTTGAATATTGTACTTAAGGGAGCTGGTATTTGAATATTATTTCATTAGTTAGCTTGTGACTCTTGGCTTTAAACAAAAATAAAACATACCTTTTAGATTTACTGCACTATGTCCTGAAGGTACTTGCACGAACCCCAAAATTATTCCTAATGTTTAAAACCCCTTTCCCAATTCCCTTCTGCACACCCTCTTTCTTTTCATGGACACTGAAACGTTTTCTCTTTTGCTGAGAGTAGGTACTGGTTTTGTCTTCTGCTTCCTCCCTGCCCCTGATGAGATGGGTTTGTATGAATGAAGAAGAAAAGGAGAATGGGTAAAAAGACATGTAGGTATAGAGAAACTAGAACTCTATGGAGACCAGACTTTGCCCAAATCTGAAATGTACTAGGGCAGGGAGTACTTAACACACAATCCTCACCGCCAAAGCAATGAATGGAGAGGAACTGGAGAGCTAATGAGAAGTGACAGATGCCGCCACACCCTGGATTGACTCAAGTCTTTACAACCGTGACTGTCACGCCTCGTCCTGGGAGAAGGAAGCTGCTTCAAGAAATGAGCACGGGAGATGGGAGAACCAGAAGGTGCCCCAGCCCCTTCCCCTCCCCAGCAGCGCGGGCAGACACACGGTTTCCAGCGAGGACCATTGTGCGGGGGGAGGCTCGGTGAGGAAGAGCCTGCCCCCGCCCCACACCTGCCCATCCCTAGCTCCCGCCTTCGCCGGGGGCACGGGGACCCGCGCGAGCCCAGCAGCCTGGCGGCGGCTTCGGGGCAGTCGTGTGTATCCGCGAGCGCGTGTGCGTGGGGAGGGGAGAGCGAAGACGTGATTACTTCAGAATTTATTTAAGGGCCGGTGGAAACCACTGCAGCAGCTTCCAGGGGAAGCCCTTGTTCCAGAGGAAGACGAGGTGGCTGCTGCCAGGGAGGAGGAGGGGGAGAGACGGAGGAGGAGCAGCGGCAGCAGCAACAGCCAGAGGCAAGTGAGGAGAGATGCTGTAGCATCCACAGCGGCTGCCAGCAGGTTGGTCCTCCCGGCCCACGGATGCCGGCAAGGAGGCTTGCAAAGAGGCTGGGGGGAGAAACGGGGTGTGTGTGGGGTTGACTGCTTGCCTTTCCGGAGGACTGCCTTTTTTTTTTTTTTTAGTGAAACGAGACACCGTAGCGCGGAAATAGGCTGGGGGCCAGGAGGGGACCTGTCCTGCCTCTCGCATCCCTGGGGACTCGCTTCCCTGTAGCGTTCCTACTTGGGGCGTCAGCGGTCAACTCCGGAGGGGCTCCAGGAGGGGGATGTGGTGGAGAACTTCCCTGCCAGTCACTCAGCATCCTTTTCCCCCTCGAAGCTCACGTTGGGGGAGATGCCCTGCGGGTGGCTTGGACCTGGACGGGGAGCAGCGCCACTAGATTAAGTTTCTACAGGTCCAACCCAGCCCCCAGTGCCCGGCTCCCCGCGCCGGGCGTCCGGCTGCACGCGTGGAGCTGGGGCGGCTCTGGCAAAGGGGCCGCTGCTGCTTTAAGAGCCGCCTCCCCCTCTCCTCCCTTTGACAATGGTCTGAACCGAGCTCTGCTTCCCAAAGCAAAATTTGTAATATGCCATTTTTCCGATGGACGCTTCTCCTTCGGGCTGCTGACGGAGCCGCGGGAAGATGCGGGGCCGCTGCCTCGCCACGCAGCCGGGGCCGGTTCCGGAGGGCGCGGGGGCGCGCGCGGGTCTGAGCCGCCTTTCTCCTCCCATTGCCAGGGGAATGGTCCAGGAGCGCCGGGCGTGAGCCTCCCCGCTGGTCAGCCAGAGACTGCGGTTGTCATTGATCCATTGAAGAAGCAGGACCCGAAACTACTGGCATTAGGTACCATAACTGTATTTGAGTGACATGGCTCCCCTACCGCTTTATTTATTTATTTTTTTAACTCCCTCCCCACCCCGGCCCCACCCCGCCCCCAGGGAAGATGCGATGCAAATTCCTCCTTGCCAATTACTGCTCCGTACCTTTTGCTTTCTACCGGACTCCCATCCCTCCTCCTCTTTCCCTACTGCCTCCCGACTCGGTTCCCTCCTGTTGGGCAGAATGAAGAATGTTAAGTGTGGAAACGATGAAGTCAACTTCTTCAGGGGGTGGGGGTGTGGCCGAGAGATAACTGTCCAGCCCTGTGAGATGACCTGGCTCTTTGGCCAGCTGTAGAGGCACTGGGGTAAAGAAAGTGCAAAATGCTTCCCTTAGAGGTGATGGCATTATTTCCCGAGGACAGGGGATTACAAAGGGTTAAATAGGAGGAGGAATATTCATGTAACGTAATCAGACAATAGCTAGGATTTCTCTCAAGGAATTACTTTTGTGTGTGTGTTAACTGAGATGGAGCTGGGTTAGTTCTTAAAACTCAATCTTTGCAAAAGAAACTGACTACCAAAGATAATTTCATCTTTGCCTCTACTAAGGTTTAAATCCTAGTGATCTGCCTGAATAAAGTGATTCACTGACAGGAAAAAAAAAACACCTTTTGTAGCACTATTACATCTGTATAGGTATTGCTTAAATGGTATATATTGCTAAGAAACACATTGGATCTTGAAGCTTTTGAGTACTGACTCCAGTGGGCATTCAAACTTTTATTTTGAAATCTGGGAGATTTAGGAGACAGTCAAGGTTATGTGCTAAGAATAAGGGAGTTGGTTTTCCTTGTATAAAATTATTCAAGCTAAACTTATGCACTGGGATAATTAAATCAACCAGCTTTATTATTGTTTTTTCTTTTTAAAATAAAATAATCTCTATTAGGACTTGAGACCTTCAGTAATTTAATGAACAAGGCATAAACATCTAGAAGAGGATAACATAATTCATGTATCAATTGACTTTGGAGAGGAGAAGATGAAAGGCAAATATCAAAGCAAAGTGTTAGTAATCCCTTCCTGGTTTTTCAGGAATTATGCTATGCAAGGCAGTTGTAATTTTGAAAATTATCAGAAAAGTTAGAAGTGGTATATGAAGATGAAATGTACTAGAGGTTGAATGACCGTAGACTTCTGGATTGCCAAGTTGCTTCAGATGTCATCTATTCTATGAGATGGTGTTTAACTCTTACACTGAATATCTATTTTTAATTGCTTTTAATACCTAAAATGTGCATTTAAGAAGTAGGTTATATTATATTTTAAGGATTATACAATTATTTTGTAACTTATGTTAGAATCTGAGTTCTATTGCAAGAAGCTAAAGTAGTTCATGAAAGTGCCTTATTTTTTTATAGAAACATCACCACCCCTCTCCTTCCCTCCACCTCCCCCCCCCACCCCCAGTTTTGTTGAGAAGAGTTCAGATGTACTTATTTGGGTTGACTGCTGGTTAAGAAAAGCAGCATGTATTTATCTTATTTCCTAACTAAATTTTTCATAGTTTGATTTTTTTAAATTGAATGTGGAGAGTTCAGAGTACCCAATTAAATTAAATCTTTAGGCATGGAAATATAATGAATCAAAAACCAAAATATTCTTTCTGAAAAGATGAATGTTGGTCACTTTATAATAAAAAGAAATACTTGAATTTATAAAAGCCTTTATTATCTTACTGTGTAATCTCAGTTAGGTATACCAGCAGAGCTTTAGAACACCTTTTTAAAAGCATAGATTATTAACCCTACTTTACAGAAGTTTTGACAGGTGAAGTGACTTTCCCTGGTTCACATGCTACAGGAGTGAAATTGAATCCAGTGCTCTTGAGTGAAGATTTAATAGACTTTCCTAAGTCCCCAAGGTGCTTCTTCTCATCATAGCATCTTTGGACTTAATCAAAGACCCGCTTTTATAGCTATCTAAGAGCCTGGTGACAAGCCTTTGTTAGAATTAGGGTAGTATACTCAGGAGAAAATTATAACAAAGTTAATCAATGAAGTTATATTTTTCCTTGGAATTTAAAGTTGTTGTAAGTAATTCTGAGTGAAGATAGGCTAGTGGCTTTCTTTCAAGAAAGATATAATTTAAAATACAGATTTAATAATGTTTAACCCTAAAATTTAAACCTTGCAAGTGTTTTGACACAAATTGTCACAATGCTACCATTTTCTCTTCCAGTATTTTGTTGTAACCGTACATGACAAACAAACAAACAAGCCAACAAACAAAAAACACACAAAAAATTCTACATTGGCTGCTGGTAATGATTTCCCAGAATGACACAGCTGTGTGTATGTCATGCATGGCAAGTAAACTAATCGTTTTAAATATTCAATTGTTTTGGAACACTTTTTTTGTTTTTGCAATTTCCTTTCAATCAATGTAAAGAAAATTTGTAAATTTAGGAGTCTCTTTTTATTCCATCTTTGTGATAGTGTTTGAATAAAATGCAAAATAAAAAAATACAAATATTTTATTTTCATCATTGAGTATTTAACAATAGTAACAGTGTGTGTGTGTGTGTGTGTTTGCCTCTGTGCACACATGTGTGCATTAATACATCCTGTGTATCTACCCTATTATTTATTTTAGGGTGAATAAGAAATTGAACAAGTCAAATTCTTACCTACAGGTAGCCCAGTGTTTTGAATGATAAGCAATAATTCCAAGCATTATCTTGAATTATTCTAAAAATCACCCTCCTTAAAATTTAACATAGGGTAGCAGTAGCAAAAGTACTTTTATCTTTCTGAAAGTTTCTCCTAGTTTTCAGTGAGCCCTGACCAAATCATTTACAGATAACTGAATTTCTCTCCTCAATAACTCAATTTATAGAAAGAATTACATAAAAAATAATTAACTATTGAGCTGTTAAGTCTTGACATTTTATTTGAAAATATCATCATAAACATTTTCCCCAAGGATAGGAATATGTAAGCAGAAAAATGAATTGACCTTGCATTATACAACCAAAGAATGCTTCAGGATCAACGGCCAAACCAGCCTTTCCACATCAGCTTTCTACAAAACCAAGCCCTCTAATTAATAGCTCCTGGCCTCAGGACAACAGCTGAAGCTGAGATGTGTTTGATTCTTTTAAAAATATAAGACAGAACATAATTGAGAAAACAAGATCATTTCTGATTATTAAAATGCCACACAATAGATCAATGTTGCATCCCAATGTCTGTGTTTTCTATTTTAAAATAAATAAATAATTTTTAAAAAAATATCCTGTGCAGTTAATTTATTTCATGACTGGTAGCCTCTGATTAGCAGCTGAGATGTGAAGTTACTGCATTGGCTAATGTAATTCATGGTATCTGTTTTGTGGATTATTCGAAAGTGTTAGTTTGTATTGTTTGGATGAAAACCAGACAATGCAGCTCACAGGAAACAAAGGAATCTTTAGTGCAATTAGTAGTATATTAACCTAAACAAATGTATGTGCCTCAGTCTATTTCATAAAGCTTATATTTAATTCAGTCACTTTACCGTGTAGTCTACTGCAGGAATTTAGGGAGAGAGCATGTGAAAATAATAAAATGGGAGTTTTGAAGTAAAAAAGCTTTAAATTGGTATGAAAAAAAAGTTGATAAGATAAAAAAGTAAAAACTGTTAATTGTATAAACAGAATACTCTCTTATTTGTAAATTTTCCTGAATAAAAGAGTGAACATTAATTCATTGAATTACTTATGTCATTTAAAAATAATTTACTGCCCACCCATTAAGGGACAGACCCTGCTTGTTGTTAACAATATAACAAATAAAGATAACATGAAGGTATTAGCAATAAGGGATTTGTAAATTTATAGGGGAAGAAAGGTGACCAATTAATAAATGTAGTAACATGTTACTATAAATTGAATTAGGTGCAATAAATCATGAAAAAATAATCACTTTTCCTTGAGATCAAAATATTTAGTTTGCTTGGAGTAAGGGGAAAAGAGACAATTAGGCTAAGGAGCTGCAAAGCATTTGCTGGGTTGAGGCCTGGGCAGCATGATTGGAAAACATTTCTTTACTAAACTTCCCTCCCCTTTACTTTCTTTAAGCAATGATGTGTGAAGTGATGCCCACGATTAATGAGGACACCCCAATGAGCCAAAGGGGGTCCCAAAGCAGTGGCTCGGACTCAGACTCCCATTTTGAGCAGCTGATGGTGAATATGCTTGATGAAAGGGACCGTCTTCTAGACACCCTACGGGAGACCCAAGAAAGTCTTTCCCTTGCCCAGCAAAGACTGCAGGATGTCATCTACGACAGAGATTCGCTCCAGAGACAGCTCAACTCAGCCCTGCCACAGGTATGCTTCCTGGTAGCATTTGTCCTTCCAACTGCAATTGAAAATATGATAAGACTTAAGTAAGCTTTGTTTTATTTCCATTCATATAATTACGTTTCCCTTTATAATATATGGTATGCATGCTTTGGTGAGAAACAAATTAAGAATCGATACTAGTTCACATAAAACCTTGCCTCAAAGAAAACTGTGGTATGTTGGTGACAGGAAGTGTGAAGCATGAGTTTCTATCTGGTCTTTTCTTTTTTAATTTAATCTGTATGTTTTGGTGGGGGCGGAAAAATCACCTGTTGATTACCAGAATATGGGAACAGTTGATTTCTCTCCCTTGCTTTTTAAACACAATCATGACGTTTGGAAGTATGTGCTTTCCATTTTCAGTTGTGTGTTCTATCTTTGGAAGTGATAATAGTTTGGAAAACTACTGTCTAATTATTTTTATTTAGACAGCGTTAGGAATATTTCTTTCAAAATGCCTAACACCTGCTTAAAAATTCTGGGAGTTATTGATGTATTGCCTTCTCCACTCAAAAACATTTGAACCAGTTTCTTTTAATAAAGTATTTTGGAAATTAGAAAAAGAGCAAAAATTCAGCACCATTCTCACAAACTTAAAATTGTTAGACGAGTTATTTTTTTAGAATATTTTTGTGAAGAATATCATTTCATAAAAAAATAATATAAAATTTTAAGGATTTCCAGATTATTTATATACAAAGTTAGTAATGAAAGTTAATTTTCTTATTTAAGAGTAGCATACTTGTGTTTATTTGAGGTATGGAAAAAAAGCATAGAAAATGAACAAGATTTTTAATAATCACTTCCAATATATCCTGTATTTTTTGTATAATATACAAAAAATTGGCCCTCTGCTTTCCATACAATATAGCAAATGTTGAAGTGTTTACTTCTATCTGTGAAATTATATCTTGTAAATATTATGCTTTCATAAATATTAAAATGTATATAATGAAAGTTGATGAAATTCTAAACCCAGCTGTATTATTAACTTACACTGTGGTGTGGAGGTACTGATGACTATCAGAATGAAAGGACCACCTGGAAACTTTTTTCACACCCCCATTAGGTAATCCCATAACTCTACATGGATAACTCTTGTCCTAGTTCTTTTCATTTCAGCCAGCTTGTCTTGTTTTGAGATATAATAATATTTCCAGTAACTCTCACCTGTAGGTACACTGGTGTGTCTAATTACACAGAATGAGTTGATTCATTTCAAAAACTTCATCAATAATTTTATTCTTAAAGCTAGACATTTCAGGCTTTGCAATTGTTCTTCATAAGGTAATTTCTAGAGTGATCACATCATGTTTACTCCTCACTAGGATTATTTGAGTTGGTCAATGCTGCTATTAAAGGGTGGTCCCTGAACCAAACATATTATTCATTACCTTCTGTGACAAGCATAGAATGGGGCAATCATTTCTCTTTCTGGGTAGAGTGTTTCATTATCAGAAGCATAGGACTGTATTATATTTGGGAGCAGCGTCAACATACTTTCAGTATGTCCTGGGACAGTAGTCAACTTATAACCGAGTTGCAAAAATGTTACCTGTGTTCCCATTTTCCCTACTCTTCTTGGAAGTTAACTCTTTGGTCCTAAGTGTAAGAATATGCATGTATCCCTCCTACATTTGTCTTTTCATGTTTTATTCAAGCCTGATGATGTTGATTTGGATCCTGACCCTATCAAAGTGATTCTAAGAATAATTTGGGTTTTTGAATTTTTTTTCTCTATCTTTACAAAAACGAGTGATTATTTCATAAGGATGATGAAGATAGAAAGTACTAGAACAAGATTTTTTTGGGGGAAAAGAAAAAAAACTGGAAATGTTTTCATCATAATAATATTGTATAGATAAATCTATTTTTAAAGGTATAAGAATGAAAAATTTTAATTCTAGAAATTCACTTGTGATGAATATCTGGTTTATAACATGACCTAAAATTTCAAGTTTTGAATTTTAGTTAATCTCTTATCCAAACACTTTGGGGCCAGGTGTTTTAGAATTCAGAATTTTCCTTAGTGTTTTGTATATATGTAATAAATATTATGAAATACTTCTGCAGATGGATTCTGTATAGAATCCCATAAATATACATTTACATATCTGAAAATAATTCTATGAATATTTCTATTGTATGGAAAAAATAAAAACTATAAATGTCTCATGTTAGTACAGGCCTGGTTTTACCACCAATCAAGGTTGCAACACACAACAAAATATCAGTTTATAGAGTGCATAGGTTTGGGAATTATATACTAGGCATTATGAACCTGTACATTTAGATGCACATGGTTTCAATCTGTTCTACAAATACTTTGACACATTTCTTCAATATTGTTTTGTAGTTTACAATTATAAATATCAAATACTCTTAGTAATCCACAGGTTCTTAAGTGATAGTCCTGTCATTTTAGTAACCTACTCTGTACCTTAAGGGCTATAGTTTTCTGTAACTAATAGAAGAGTATTCTTCTTTAATTGTTATCTTTGAATCTTTTTCAATATTTTGTAAGCAATGTACTTGCACTGTTTGGTGGCACTGCACTTGACATTTATCTTGATGGAGAAAATGATTACCATAAATGTGAGTTTTAAGGCAGAAATAAAGCATGTAAAATTGAAAATTACTATAAATACGTCAAATGAAAATTATTTTAGCAAATATGGGAGAGAATTCAAAGCAGAGTCAAACTTTAGGACACAACAACATAAAAATTGCCTATCTAATACTTTTAGATATTGATGACTTGGTGTTTTGCTTTAGTTACTTTCTCTCTTATCATTCTTTTATGAACAATGCATCAGTGATTATTTCTTTACTATATGAGTGGATATAAATGTGTTTAAATAGTACTCATAATTTTAAATTATTCCATATCTCCAGGCCTGATGTTTCTTAACTACTCACTCAATTTTTTACCTCACACAGATCCATACACATGTTCCACAGAACCTCAGATTCTATGTGCCTCAAACTCAGTCATCATCTGTCTCCCATTCCTCAACCTAATCTGCTTGAATTCCTCACCCAGACACCTGAGAATCCTCATAGATGAAGTCTACTCCTTCATCTCTGAATTTAGACCTCTTGGAACATACTGTTTTTAATCTCTTAAGTAATTCTCAAATATGTCTGTGTTTTCTGGTTTTCTGCAGCTGACTCACTTCTCATCCTAGCCTAGCCTTTATATCTTGCCAGAAGCCTTCTCTGAATGCCCAAGTATATTTTCTCTGTGTTCCTTACCCTTATCATTTAGCGTATTATCATTAAGATATCCGATTAGGTGGCTAGATTGTAGGCTCCTTGAGAACCAGCACATATGTCAATCGTCTACAACCCTCTCAACCAGTTAGAGTAACAGAAGTAAGGACTGTCAAGGTAAAACTAGAACTAAATGTACATGGTTTAATATAGAGAGAGCAATACATTTGAAATGGGAAGATTTGGTTTGTATTGTGACTCTACCATACATCATAAATTTGAGTCAGGACTTCAGATTTCCATACTACAAAAAGTGGTTAATACAAATACCTCACATGATAGTTTATGATGATTAAAGAAAAGAATGTAAGTAGTAATGTAAGTAAAAATTAATTAATTTGTAAAGCATTATATAAAAAATGGTTGTATTTGTTTTATCCAGAATGCCAAAAGATAAACTAATTTCTACATATGTATGCCAATGAGCATTAGAACAACTTACTAGGAATATTGATAAAATAAACAGTCTAACATTTTTGAAATCAGGATAAATATTTGTTAATTACTAATATGCTTATTAAGAATATTCAAAGAAAAATTAAAGACAGTGAGATTTTTAAAAAATATATTTTATTGATTTTTTTACAGAGAGGAAGGGAAAGGGATAGAGAGTTAGAAACATCGATGAGAGAGAAACATCTATCAGCTGCCTCCTGCACACTCCCTACTGGGGATGTGCCCACAACCAAGGTACATGCCCTTGACTGGAATCAAACCTGGGACCCTTCAGTCTGCAGGCCGACGCTCTATCCACTGAGCCAAACCAGTTAGGGCGACAGTGAGATTTCTATTGCAAAAAACTACACTAATAAAAGAGAAAGATGCAAATTGACCATACCTTCGCAACGCCCACCAGCCAATCAGGAGTGAGTATGCAAATTAACCCAGCAAAGATGGCAGATTAATTTGCATACACAGGCACCAAGTGGCCAGGGGCGGGGCAGGACACCATGGTGACGATTCAGGCGTTCCTCCCTGCCCCAGCCGCTCCGGGCCTCTGGGCAGTGTGGGAAGGTGGGAAGGTGGAAAAACGGCTCCAGGCTGGAACGAAGGCGGTGCCAGCAGCCAGGGGAAAGAAGGTCCATTCTTGCATAAATCTTTGCGCATCAGGCCTCTAGTCATATATAAAAGTTTAAAATTAATTTTTATCATTTTAGTTAGCATTTATTGAGGGCCTTCTGTATATTATTAAATGGTTATATATATTTGTAAAGGGATTAGTAAAAAAGGAATATAATTTGGCTCCCAGAGGATTTAGGGAATAGAGTTGCTTAGCAAAAATATATAAGTGGATCAAAATTAATATGGTAAAAGATTATAGAAGTACTGAAAATATTTGATATATAATATTGATTGTGATTAACTGCAGAAAGTTTCATGTGGAAAGCAATTTTAGAGAGTTATTTTTAGGAAAAGGTTGGAAATAACCCAAAGGTATTCCATGTGAAGGAGTAACGTTTTGCATAGGCTTCTGTTCAAGGACATTTGGGGGATAGAAATTCAGCCTGTACTTTGCTTTCAGGGTTAAGCTTTGGGTTTCCTAATATTCACAGTATCCCCCACCTTTTTTTTCCTTAAAGAAGACAAGGAATTAAATAAGGAGAATAACAACAGATTTGTTTATTGAAAGATTGTAGGGTAGGAATGAAATTTTTTATAGTGGCAATGGAGGAGTGTGGCCTGTTCATATGTTTTGTGACAGCTAAGAACCG